GGGAAAACCACTTTAGAGTCGCTAACTATTTTTGTAAATCTCTTTTGTATCCTTACTATTTTTATAAACACTTAGAGTGCTACTATTTTTGTAATCTCTTTTGTACCTACTATTTTATAGTGGAAGAATTATTCGGAGTTTGTCCCGTGGACGTAGCCCATAACAATTGACGGGTGAACTACGTAAATCTCGGTGTCCCTATTTTTCATCTGGTATTTACGGCATTTTTCCACGGGCCCCACTCGGGATCAGTTATAATCCCAACAAATAGGCAATGGGGCTAATAAGCATTTCGAAAGAAAGATAGTTACTTGACCAGATTGCGCTTGGAATATGTTTATCGGTTAAGATCCTTGATGGAAATGCTACAGTTGGTGAACTTATTAATCAAGAGAAGCTGTCTTGAAATTCAGAATTGGTGCGGTCCATCTTTTTACCCGAAGATGCTTTGCATATATGTTCTATCCCGCTTAGGCAACAAAGATAAGTTGATAATGCAATTTAGTATCCTACTAAGGATGATTGCTTACAGTTATGAATGCTTATCATTTTGTCTTTTATAATTTGCATTCTTCAAGGATATCAACTTCTTCATCCTCAGAGAATGCGTTTTATGGAATAAAATTTGTAATCTTCACATTGCATCAAAAGTTAATATTTTATTTACTAGGCTTATAAGAAACTATTACCAGTTTCTGAAGCTTTAACTCGAAGAGGAGTTGCAATGGATTCTTTATGCGAATTATGTGGTGATACTGTGGAATCTTTATTGCATGTATTCAGAGATTGTCTCTTATCTCAGAAAGTTTGGATTCTTAGTCCTCTGAGAATTCGAGTTAATCAAGTATCAATTACATCCTTTTATTATTGGTTTAATGATATTTCGTTTGCATTTAAGAAGGAACAGTTGGTGGTGTTTTGATTGATCTCATTTTTTCGAGTTAATCAGAAAGTTGTTTTGTTGGGAGAACACGTTATGCAGCAAACGTCCTTACTATTTGATTTCCAAAATGCTAATGTTCTGCAAATAGGACAACGTGTTTTCCATGATCCTGAATCCAGTTCTTGGTCTCCTCCTCCAATGGAACTCTATAAACTAAATACTGGTGCAGCTTTAAGTGTTGACAGGGGCTAGGGTTATGGTGCTGTCATGGCATTGGGTATGAAATTCCAGCGGCTTCAGGTGGCATCTAATTCTGTCGAGGTAGAAGCTTCAATTTTTGATTTCCAGAAAGGAGTTGATTTGGGTATTATTCCTCTCATTTTGGAAACTGATTCTCTCATTTTGGTTCAACTCTCCTCTTCTCGTAATTTCCAAATTTTGATTTTAGAACTAGATTATTAAGTTCAGATATTTTGTTTAGTAGTTTTAATCTTTGCAAATTAGTTCATGCTAAGAGAAATTGTAATATGGTGGATCATGAACTAGCTAAGTAAGCTATCTCCTTGCCTATTTGAGAAGCCATTCAGGTTGATAAAGTTCCTCCTTCTATCCTCCCATTTGTTTTGGATAGGCAAAGCCACCGGTTCATTTTGAACCAGGACACTGTAGATGAACCAACACCTTCAGTTTAAAGTTTTGAACCGGACCCAATGGTTCAAGGGCTGATTAAGGTTAATGTTAATAGTAAAATTTGAACCTGAACTAGTTCGAAATCGGCGGTTCTGGTCCAGTCGAATCGTAAATTTTCTATTTTTATTTTCAAAATGATAATCACTTAACCTATTCTATACACCTCTAAAAGTCTCAATAATATTTTATTACATCATACACTTTAATTAAGATTTTTTTTTGAAAATATACTTTACTTTAAAAATTAAAAATCTAAAAATCTCTAATAATATTTTATACACATACACTTTAATTAAGATTTTTTTTTGAAATATACTTTACTTTTAAAAATTAAAAATTTCCTAAAAAAGTAAATTGCGTAAAAAAAAAAAATAAAGAAATATTTAGTCTAAAATTATATTTGTTTTGAATTTTTTCTTTTTCATTTAAATCTTTTACTATTCAAAATTTTACTAAATTCAAAATTATATTCTTTGAAGCATTTTTCAAAATTTTCTAATAATTTATTTAATTAATAATATTTAGACAAAATAAAGTGATGGTTTATTTGATTATTTTATAAAATTAATTAATTTTATTCTTATATGATTATGAGCATTGTAAAATTTATTTAAAATAAAAGTTACTAATATTTTTAAAACTCATTAATATTTTCGAAAGAAAGATGTACCATTAGAATCAATTTTTTTGAAAAAAAAACATATATCGCTGGAAACCATAATCGGAATCGTCGATTCATCGGAATCATACTGAAATCGGCCAGAACCGGGGTTCAAAAGTCGATTCAGATTCAACATTTTAAAAATTTTGAACGGGCCATCCCTAGTTTTGGGTGATTCTTCTTCCATTAAAAATTCAACATTTCTCATTTTCCCCTTAAAAAAAAAAAATTGAAAATCTCATATTAATCATCTTTTTGTCTTGCTTTTGAGTCTAATTAAATATAAATACTTGTTATTATTTCATTATTATTTCTACTTTTTATTTTTATGCCCCATTGTAAAAGATTTGTTACTTCATAATTGGAAATTATAACTCTGTTTAACAAGTTTTATCACTCAAATAAGAGTTATAACCCTATCGAAGAGGATTTAATATATATATATATGAAGCCAGCGATTTAAATATAATATATTATATAATATATATATATATATATATATATACTATACACACACTTAATGAGAAAGGAAAAATGCTCCATTTTACTTCCCAGTATTTAAATGGAAATATTCAAATTGCCCCAGAAATCACACACACTAATGAGAAAGGAAAAATGCTCATTTTACTCCCAGTATTTAAATGAAATATTCAAATTGCCCAGAAATCAACTTTTTAGCCAATTTTTCCCTTAAACTTGTTTGAAAATATCAATTTACCCATTAAAACTTCTCACCACTTCAGATCTAGTAGAAACATAATAGCTAATAACCTCTCTCTGTCAGGAGTCAAAATCCTAATAACTTCGATCATATATATTAAATAGTATATTAATATTAAATAAAATAGTATATATGCGATCATATATATTAATATTAACATAAAGATTCGAACAAACATAAAGAATTTTATATTAGATTTTGATAAACATGAAACATAATAAATCAAATATAATTTTATCCTTACTAGTATATATAGTTACTTTCTCTGGAGAACAAATCACCACAAGTTAAGTTTATTTATTTGACTATCTAGAATTTATTTGTATTCGCTATAAACAATATTTGTGTTCTCTTCAAGTGACGTTTTGAAGATTTCTGATTTTAGTATTGAATTATTGATAATCAATTTTTTATTTTGCTATTTACATGATAATTTTTAATTAATTTTAAATATTTTAAACAAATAATAAAAAATAAGCCGTGAAAAATATTTTTCAGCAATTAGCTATTGTCCAGAAATAAATAAAATCTTAGATTTGTTATCACTTTACACTTTACAAAAAGATAAGTATTTGCTTCGTAAAAACATAACATGCTACTTAGAAACATAACATGTTACTTATGGTAAATTTATGAACAATTAATTATTTAATGCAAAGTTGTCAAATACAAATAAATTTTTCTATAATTGATTGAAATATTATCTCTTATTTTGGTAAGAAATTAACTTTTCAAGTTAATTTTCTGAATCACAATAAATATAAATAACGTGCAAATCATATTATTAAAAACTAGTAATTAAAAAGTATATCTATTTGAAATAAGGAAGGAAATTTGGAAATTTCTTTTTCCAAAAAATAATACTTAATTTGAAGAAATTTTCCATATAAGCTTGGTAGATTATCTTTCCAAAAACAAAGTTAAATTTCACCCACTTCCTTACAAGGTGGTGAATTTTTACTGGAGGTAGTGTCTAAGGTTTGAGTAGTTTCAGAACCCTTTGCACTAAATTTGGGAATAAATTCAAACAAGGAATCAAATCATCAAATTTAAAACAAGAACATTATTGCAATTTAATTTGTTTTTGGAATGTAAATCAGACATTCCCAATTTAGAATATAACAACATTCCTTTTATTAGGGCTACTAAAATAATTTATTTTGGTCTTTTGACCTCGTATTATAGGATGAATCTCGAAAAATAAGAAATAACTCCCTCCAAGCGGTAATAAATATTTAAGCTCTTAAACTTATCAATTTTTAACTGTTGAATCCCCAAACTTTTGTTTATCAGTATTAAACTCTTCAACCTTTATTTTTTTAAAATTAAATGCTTATTTAATTGACAAAATTACACATTCTTCAACCAAATATAATTTTCTATTTTTTATTTAGTTTCATTAATATTTTGTTGCCTTTTATATAAATAAATTCCTTTCAATTCTAAATTGTCAATTCAGCAAAAGTTATGGTTTGAATCAATTCCCAAAACAAAATTTTCTTCTAATTTCAGTAGGATTAATTGGTATATTAGTCTTCAAGGATCATAAAATTGCTAGAATGCTAGCTTAATGATGGAGTTCCTATTTTTTCCCTTCTTTCTAAGGAAGGAGATAAGTTTGTTTATAAAATAAAGGAAATAAAATATTAATGGAAACAAAGAGGGAAAAAGGGAAATTCAATTAAATATTTGATTTAGAAGAGCAATTTTGTGCTTGAATAATGAATATCATTCCCATCTAACCCTTTTTGAATACTAAGAAAAAAAAAAAAAAGAAACTGAAAATTGTGATGTTATAGAAAATTTATTTATAGCCTTTTATGTTCAAAATTATTATTTACTTCTTTTTTTTTTCTTTTTTTTTGTCTAAAAGTGGGCCTTTTAGATCAATTTAGTGCAAAGTTTAGGTGATAATGGTAAAAAAATTTAATTTTTGAGTAAATTATATTCATGGCATGCAAGTTCAAAGGGACAAATTGAACTTTATTCCTATATAAATTCGTAATTATTCATAAGCATATACAAATTGAAAATAGAATAGAAAGATGGAAGGAAAGTTTTCTTTTGTATGTGCCATAATCCTTTGTGTTACTGTGATAGAACTTGCACAAGGAGAATATTACTCTGAAACTATACCAGTTAGAAAAATACCAGAGAAAACTACCAATCTCCATTTCTTTTTTCATGATATAGTTAGTGGAGAAAACGCAACTGCGGTTCAAATAGCCAAATCCAACAAAACCAGCAAGGTTGGTGGAGCACTCTCATTTGGGACACTTAGTGCCATTGATGATGCTCTAAGGGTAGGTGTTGAACCAAACTCAGAAATCATAGGGAGAGCGAAAGGGCTATATTTGGCAGCTAGCCAAGAAGATGAAATGGCTTTAGTTTCGTACATGGATCTTGGGTTCACAACAGGCAAGTTCAATGGAAGTTCATTTGTTGTGTTTTCGAAAAACCCTATAATGGAGACAGAACGTGAGCTTGCTGTTGTTGGAGGAAGAGGACAGTTTAGGATGGCTAGAGGGCTTGCGAAACTCTATACCCGGTACTTCAATCTTACTAGTGGGGATGCCATTGTTGAATATAATGTGACCTTGTTTCATTACTAATGGAAGAAGATCCATTTGGAAAAAAGTAAAAAAAAAAACCTTTGAGTTGTTATCAATAAAGAGTCTCCTGAATCATGTGATTTTGATGTGCATGAAATTTTAATATATTAATGTCTTAATTCTTCTTGTAGAATTAGTTTCATTTATATCTTTTATTTTTATTTTTGTGTTTTTTTTTTTGGATATGTTCTACTCTATTTGGATGGTAATGTTGGGATTAATGCTCTGATACCACTTGTTGGGATTAAAGCTCTAATACCACTTGTTGGATATTAGCGCAGTGATAAACTCCAAGATTGATTAATACTTTATAACACTAGGAATAATAAGGGAAAGGCAACCAAAATAATACTAACACAAAACGCCAAATATAATTGTATTAATAAGAAGCAAACATTCACAAAGCTCAAGGAAATGATTACTTACTTGGCTTTTGCTTGGTGCTTGCTTGGTTACAAATGAGAGAACGCCCAAATATTAATTGTTATTAATAGAAGGCAAACATTCACAAAGCCAAGGAAATTTGATTACTTACTTGGTTTTTTCTTGGTGTTTAGCTTGTTACAAATGAGAGAAGGGGTGGTATTTATAGGCAATTGTCCACCTCCTCAATGCTACGGTCTAAGATTTGTTTACAAAAATGGACGGCTTTAGATATTAAGGAACATTCTAAGTTAGGTAAGATAATTTTTATTACATACTCATGTTGTGGAGATTTGTGGAGTATTCTAGAATGCTGCGCTTGGACCTCCAACTTTGGGCTTAAGGTCTCCAAGCCTATGGCTTATTATTAGCAGCCCATTTGGTGGTGGACCTCCAACTTTGGGCTTAAGGCTTCCCAAGCCTTGGCTTATTATAGCAGCCCATTTTGGTGGTGACTAAATTAATCGGTGATATTTTAATAGGTAATTCACCCATAATTAAAATTAAGATTACGAATTTTACATTTTGAATTTATATGTTGTTTGAATAAATATTTTAGACACCGAAAATATTTTTGGCACAACTACAGCGTAAATTAGGTGAAAAGATTATAATGTCCTTGAAAAAAACTTTTTAACATGTTTGGTGTTACCGATGTAATGTTAGGTATGTAATTGAAAATATACATAGATATTTTTTAAAAAAAATGTTTTTTTAAAAGAATTTATTTACTATTTGATTGTAATATTGAAAATTAATTAAAATTTCAATTTACAAGGCTATAGAAGTATTTAACGTGTAAAATTTTATATTTTTCAAAATTTTATTGTTAAATATGAAAAATATATATATATATAAAGATAGTAAAATTACAGTGGTCACCGGTGACATTGGTTGTAAAATTCAAGAATTGATTGAACTTTTCCACTGTGCTTTCGATTAGAGATTTGAGCTATAAGTTATGAAATTCAATTCTTAACATTCAATCTTACATAATCTTGTTCCTTATAATTAGGTTATGCCCCTAATTTCCCTCACTATATATAAAAAGTACATAAATCAATAATTTTCGTAATTAAGAATTAAAACTATTGAGTTTGCTCCCACTAAACATTAGAATTTGTCCCCATTCTTAAGGTTATCTTTTAACCATTTACCAACAAATTTATTTATATTATATATAATATTATTAGGATTGATAAATTTGTTCATTATAAAAATGAATAATTTAATATATATATATTCTAATCCCATTAGAAAATTCTTTACATGCTTTAATTATTTTTTATTTAAATTTATTTCCATCCAAATAAAAACAAAGGTAAAAACTCAAGGAACAATTGCTAGGTTTGAGGCAAAAACTTATAAGACAAAGTCAATATATCCAGCTTTAGCCAATTATTTATCACTAAACACATCCAAGCAATGTCCATAGATTTCTCCATTTTAGAGGCTTATACTAACCCTAATTTTAGAATTATGTGGAAGTTCTTGAGAGAGAGAGAAAGAGGGAAAAATTAAGAAATGAATCAATTTTTGGATGATGAGACAAAATGGGTAATAAAATTTTGGGTACTATAACATTTCTCATGTTAGCTACAATGGTGATAAAGAGTTGGGGGTTTCACAATTCATCATATAGAAAAACAGTTCCTGAATGTATGGTAGATTGCATGCCCATATGCATGAGATTAGATGGTGCTTTATCTAGACATTGTACAAATGCTTGTAATCAAGGATGTGAACAGATTCAAGGCAGAGGAACTCCAACTTTCATCAAGATTATAAAACCCAAGAAAGATTAGAACCAATTTCTTTCATTCCTTAAACCTTCAAATTTTGGGAAAATAATTGTCTAGACTGGATTCATTGTCCCACCTATCGACCAAACAAATGAAACTAAAGATTTTTTAAAAAATATTCAGACTTTATCTTTTTTTTTTTTAATGTATGGTGAGAAATATCTTTATTTCAATAAAAATATTTAATTTCATTGGTTTGATCCATAAGTGGAGCTATGAACCCGGTTTAGGTAAGTTTTTCGCCTTTAAATATTCATTGAATGAAGTTTTTCATGTCAATTTTTTAGCATTTTATTTGAAGGATAAGAAATGAAAGGGAAAAAGAAATGCAATTGTGAAAGGAAATGATATGGTTGTTCTCTTTTTTTTTTTTTTTCCCTTCTTGGTAGAAGTAATAATTTTTTCATAGATAAAGGTTTGTTCTTCTCAGTTATTTTACAAGTATTGTTATTTTTCTCATTCTTTTGTATTTTTCCAAGAGTTTCTAGGTTATTTTTTCCATTTTCGTAGTGGGTTTTTTTTTTTTTTTTTTTTTTCCTCTCTCAGATAAAGCGTTTGTTTCTTTCTCAGTGTATTTTTACAAGTATTGTCTCTATTTTTTTCTCATTCTTTTGGTAATTTTTCAACAGAGTTTCTCAGGTTATTTTCTCCACAGTTTTTTCAGGCAGTTTTATGGAAAAGTCTTTGTTTAATTAATCGGGTTCATGGGGATCTAAAAGGGAAGTATTATTTAAAAATCTTAATTTAACTTTTTTTTTTTTTGCTACTTTTTACTTCAGCTCAACATCGAGTTATTGATATATGAACAACTCGAGTTCTGATAATTAATTTCCAGATTATCTTAATCAATTCTAGTTTTTCTGGTCTTCACTATCTTCAGTACTATGGCCTAATATTTTGCAATCGGGTTTTTTTTTTTTTTTTTTTTTATGGAAAAGTTTTGTTAATTAATCGGTTCATGGATTAAAAAGGGATTATTTAAAAATCTTAATTAACTTTTTTTTTTTGCTATTTTTGATTCAAATATCGAGTTATTGAATTGAAAACTCGAGTTTCTGGAAATTAATTTCAGATTTAATCAATTTAGTTTTGTTTCACTATTTCAGTACTTGCAATATTTGCACTTGTTTCATTAGAATTTTGAATTTTAATATCACCATTATTGTGTCATTGTTCAGTTTTTTTATATTCAATTGTTGAGTTTATTTGGTTTTATACTCTTTCTTGTTTTATTGTTGATGTATTTTTTTTAATATACAATTGTGGGAAGGTCATTCAATTTTTTTTTTTCTGAGATTTTTGCAAGTTGACATTATTGGCTTTTATTCAATTTTTTTTATTGCATAACATTTAATTGTTGGAAGGTGTGTTTGTAAGGAAAAGAAATGGGTTTTGTAGAGAAGAGTAATTGCACTTTCTGACTTTTTATTGCAAACTAACTAAAAGTACAAATTTTGAATAGAAACATAATAAAATATAATCGAAATAAAACACGAGAATATAATAGTGTATTTCAAAATAAAGGAATAGACTAGTAACTTATGGCAAACGGCAAGATAAAATTTTAATTTTTTCTTACATAAAAGGAAGTTTTCATTTTAATTTGACTCAACGGGTGACATGAAAAGAGAGTCGACACACTATTAAATCTTTGAAAATAAATATAGAATTTCAAAAATCTCAATAACAAAACTTAATTTAGAATCTTAGGATAAATAAAGCAAACACGGATTTGTTGAAGATAAAACTTAGAAATTATATTTAAAAGCCCTAAATTATAATATTGAATTTTGATGGCTATTTATAGAATTACAAAGACTAATCTAATTAAGAATCTATCTATATATAAATGTAGGAATAATGAGATTTCTTATACTAGCCTTCGTTTAATTTGGAATTTCTAATGTATCCTTTTGATTAGATTTTTTATGCATTTTAATTAGAGAAAATAGATTCCATTTATCCTTTAGAATATTCTTTTAGTTAGATGTTTCATATATTTTAATTTGAGAAAATATGTATATGTATATTTTCTATTTGATCTTGCAGCATTACTATTTAATGATTTTGTAATTAATAGATTTTGATATTCTTAATTATATATTCTCGCGTGATATTACTTTCAGGAGATAAATCGAAAATCTTCATTCAAATATTAAAAATGAAATTTAAATTATTTTAATTTATGATATTTTGAATTTTTTAAAATATGATTAAATATTTTACTATTAGACTCTATTAGTTAATTACGGTGAAATTAAAATAAAATTCTTAAGTATATTATTCCTCTTTGATTGTTTGGAGAGGATGGTGTACACTTATTTGGAGTATTTACACATTATTATATTTTAAAATTTTTTATAATTCTAATTTAACAAAAGTAGTGGAAGTATTGAATTATAGTATTTGAGGAATATCAAATAAGAAAGTTTTTTTCTTTTATAGTCTAATGAAATCTTTTTGAAAAAATAGGCTACAAAGTTTGAATTAATGAAAAATGGCTATTTGGGCGGATTTGCTATCATTTTTATTTTCAGCTTTTCTATATTAAAGATGAAATAAAGAAAAAAAAAATTCAAGAGCTCTCTTTTTTTTCAATATTTTATTCTTTTATTGTTGAAATTTTTGGAATTTTATTTAATTTTTTATGACTTAATTGACTGTCTTTTTTTAAAATAATTTTTAAAATAGATATGAAGATAATTAGATCTTTGAGATTTTGATTTTTTTTAAATAAATATATAGGAGTTTGAAATTTTTGTATTTAATATCATTTATATCTTCTATAAACTTGAGAAAGGATATTCTATTACCAATATTGTTGTTTACACATTGATCCCCATGTGTAATTGATGA